ATACATATAAAAATAAATCTAGAAAGACTGACAGATCTTATCTAAGAAAAAAATTTAAATTTGTGCTGTCCAAATAACCTTGAAGATATATGAAGAGAACAAAAAAACACTTGAAATTTATATAACTAAGAGAAAATAGTTACATTAAAATAAATTTCTCAAGTAAAAATAATATTTATATCCCAGTATTTTAAAATCATTTAAAGAACATGAAGGCTGGGGATATAGCTCAGTGACATAAGCGCCTGCTTGGCAAGTGCAAGGTCATGAATTCGATCCCTGGTACCAAAAAAAAAAAAAAAAAAAGAACATGAACTCTAGAAAAGAGTGGTTAAGTGGCTAATATGCAACTGAAAATATATTCAGCCCTAAAACTACTGAAAATATGTTAAACTGTAAAACCCAAGATATGTCATTTTTACCTTTAAGTTTTGTAAAATTTCGAAAGCAAGACAAGTCTGTGTATTGATGAACATAGGGAGAAATGACCCTATTGGCAGGGAAAAAAATCAGCATTTTTTTGGAGGAAATGTGATACTTTGTTAAGTCAAAACTTTTTAATGGAAAAGAATAAGGCAGAGTTGCATGAACTGAAATAGAAAGCTGTCTATGATAAATTAATTAAAATAGCAAAGTATAGAGAAATATATATAGTATCTTCTTGTATTAAAACTCTCTCATGTCTATATATGTGTATATGCCTGCTAATAAAAAAAGAGGAAAAGACTTGTAATGCATAGAAAATGGCCTAGAATGATATTTACCAAACTGTAAGCATGATTAAAATTTGATATTTTTCATTTAAAAAACACAGGCTCTGGGCCTATCCCAGATTGTGAACTCTTGCCATAGTACATACTAGTATTTATGTTTATGAATATGTATGTACATATATGTACCTACTATATTATATATATTACCTTCAATTGCATTAAAATGCCTGTTGGTATATTTGCCAATAACTGTTTATCACGGAGAAGTGAAATTCTAATGTCTACCATTTCCTTTATAGTTACATGTCTCATTTAAATATAAATTTTAATATAAATTTACATTATGCAAATATGAAGAAAATAAAACTTTTTTGAGAAAGAAGAAAACAAATAATAGTAAAAAGTAAATTATTAGATGACTTTGCCTATTCTAAAGTTCCTTGACCCAACGAGTAGCCTTACATAAGAAATATAAAGAGAAATATGTAAAAATACGTAAGAAACATGAAATATGAAAAAACACCACCTTTACCTTGAGAAATAGATTAATTGATGAGTTAAAGAGAAAAGACACCTTCTATTGAAAAGTTATAAAAGTTAAGAGGATTATTTATCCCTTAACTAGATAATATTTATGCTTGTGCTATTATGGAATATGTATTTTGGATTTCATCTCTGGTTCTCAGTTTATAACTCCCTCCCTAAGGAGGATCATGGAAATTCTAATCTTCCCTTGCTTTAGTTGACCATAAAGAAATTCTCTTCCTTAACTGCCTGATAATAAGTCATAAGACCCTCCTCAATCCAGAGAATTCCTGCCCCATTCCCTGGAGAAAAGGATGCATAGAGAACCAGGAAGGACATGAATAGGCAGGTCTTGTTGGGGCTCCCACTTCAAACATTAGAAAGCAAGCTGTGCAGTGAAGTCTCCATAAAAACCCAAGAGGACAGGGTTTGAAAGCCTCTGTGTAGGTTCCTGAAGGCAGGTGTGGCTCGGAGAAGGCAGGGAAGCTCCATGTCCCTCTCCTATATCTTACCCTATACAACTCTTCAATATCCTTCATAACAAACCAGCAAATGTAAGTAAGTGTTTCCCTGAGTTCTGTGAGCTGCTCAAGCAAACTAATAGAATCAAAGGAGCTGTAATGAAGCAGGATATACAATCCGTAAGGGAGTTGTGCACAGCGTGGTTCCCAGACCTGTGGCCTCCGCGTCATCACTTGGAAATTTTCAAGACATGCAGAATTTCAGGTTCCGCTCCAGACATCTTTAGTCAGAAGCTCAGGATGGCCCCAGCAATCATGTTAATAACCAGCCATCCACATGGTTCCAATGCTCACTCAAGTGTGAGAGGCGCTGCTCTAAGAAAACCAGAGGCACATCTGCTGCACAGGCACGGAGCCGCTTCCAGCTCATTTCAACTCTGCAGAACTCGCCTTAGAAGTTCCTCTAATTTTTTTTCGTTCAAGAAAAAATTGCTGGCCTGGGATATAGCTCAGTGGCACAAGCATCTGCCTAGCAAACGCAAGGTCCTGAATCCAATTCGCAGTATGAAAAAAGAAAGAAAGAAAGAAATTGCTCATCAAATTTATTTTTTTATTTTAAACAATAAAAGAAGGAAAACATATTAACAGACAGACATCCATTTACAAACTAGCATAAGAACAATACAAACAAAACATCAAATTTAAATTTGCCTTTGATGACAGACATGGAGCTTACCAAAGACAGCAAACAGTTTTTTAAAATCACTTACGCTGCTTGAAGACTTCAAGGGCCCTCTTCAGGGTGCTAAAAAACAAGCACACACATCATTTCAATTCTGAAGATGGCCTTTACAGTCTATTATAATGCCTCTGCATGCTTCTCTGTGCCACATCTTAACTTAGAGCCTACAGACTCATCTTTTCTAGTGAGCTTAAGAAGACAGCCAAAGATGAAGACTTCTTAAGTCCAATTTCCTTAAGCCCAGGCAGAAGCAATTCTTCACTGTTTGCCTCAGTAGGGCAAGGTGCCAAAACTGTGCTTCATTTTCCCAATGATAACAGACGAACCTCTCATAAAACCAGTTGTTGTTATAAGTACGGCAATTAGAATCACAAAAACCAGGCAATAAAGGAAGGATTCAAACCCTGGTCCCGAATGCCTCCTTTTTATTCATTCGATCATCATGTATTTATTGATCATGGGTCAAGCATTGTGTCAGATGTTGGTGATTCAATGGTGCAAGACAAGCAGCATTCCAGACCTTAGCGTCTAACAGATGAGACAGACATTAAACAAGTTGAATTAGGTTTTCTATTGCTGCATAACAAACCGAGCAGCATGAAATGATACATATTTATTATCTCACAGTGTATGTGGATTAGCAGTCTAGCCATGGTTTCACTGGATTCTGTGCTTAGAGTCTCACAGACTGCAATCAAGGCTGGCCAGACCGCATTCTCATTTGCAGGCTTGGCAGGGGAAAAATCTACTTGAAAGTTTGCTAGAAGCCTATACAGTTAATATTTTATTCTTACCCTAAACAAAGGAATCCCCAAGAATGTTTTAATTCAAAACATCCTTCCTACCAAACCATTATCCATATATTTTTGCTATGTTTAGTTACTACTATCCAATTTTTTGTGTTTTTTTTGAGAGTCTCTCCACGTAGTCCAGGATGGCCTTGAACTCACAGGGACCCTCCTGCCTCAGCATTCCAAGTGCTGGGATTACAGGTGTGCACCACCATGCCTGGCATTATCCAATATTTTTATTCTAAATTGTTTTTAAAATCCCCAGAATTGACATGAATACCATTTCTTTATAAACTTTAGACTTATTCATGTCTGCGACATCATTTGCTCACTACTCCTTTCTGAACCTCAGACCCTTTTCTCCTAGGCTCTTTTGCTTCTTCCTGAGGATATCATTTAAAAGTACCTTTACTGAAGATCTGTCTTAAATTTTTGGTTGTCTAAACAATTTTCATTTCAAAAATTTTATTTGTTTAAGAACATATTTATTTTTTAGCCTTTATTGAAAAAATAATTTCTCTGGGTATACAATTCCAGGTTGATAATTATCTTCTCTTAGTACCTTAAAGATATAAATACAGAGTGTCTGGTTTCTCTGTTGGTGTTGAAAAATCAGCTGTCACTCTAATAAATATATGCTCATTAATTTTTTTTTGAAACAAGATTTCACTATGCAGTTCAGGCTGATCTTGAACTCATTTTGTAGCCCAGGCTGGCCTCAAACTCACAGCGATCCTCCTGCCCCAACCTTCCAAGTGCTGGGACTACAGGCATGCGCCATCCTGCCTGGCTAAATGTTCATTAATGCATAATCATTCTCTCTGTGCACCATTAGACTTTTTCATTATTTTGAATCTTACTTAGTTTGACTATCCTTATGTAGTTATGAATTTATCATTCTTTTTTTTTTAAGAATAAAAGAAGGATAACATAATAATGGGGGGACTTAGCAAATTACAGACAAAATGGTAGGAAATTATCAATGGTTATCGTTTTACATATTATTATCTACAAAATAGTTTCTCAGGAAAACAAATAGACAAATAATAGTGAGTTAGAGACAAAAAAGGTAGGAGATTATCAAGAGTTGTGCTATACTTTGGTATCTTCAAAGTGGCTTCTAAAGAAAATAAATAGAGCTATACATGAGTGACCTATTGAAAAATCATTAACTATTCTCAATGGTTGTTGTAGGAAACACATAATAATAAACATACATTATGAAATAGGATAGGAACATTACAAACTTAACACAGTTATGGATAGAGTAGTAGGAAAATATCAATGGCTGCTGTAATACGAATTTATCATTCTTGAAATTTGTTTTCCTTTTTTAATCTGAGGAATTATGGTTCCCATCACTTCTAGAAAATTCTCAACTTTTGTTGCTTCAAAGATTTCTTCTCCTTCTATTATATCTTCTGGATCTCTGATTAAATGTGCATGATACATTACTCTATTCTCTATATCTCTTAATTTTTTTCCTTTTTTTGTTATTCTTTAACTTTTTAAAATAATTTTTAAATTTTATTAGTACTATTTTTCCTGTGGTGAGTTCTGAGTGATTTCATTTTCTAAACTTTATGTTTTAATCAATAAATGAAGATTCCATAGTTACCATTTCAAAATGTGTATACCCCGTGGAATGACTCAGTAGAGCTAATTAACATACACATTATTTCACCTACAGACCTACTATTTTTTGTAGTGACAACATGTAAAATCTACTGTTAGAAATTTATAATACAATTCTTTCTTGTTAACTATAATCACAGTGTTGTACAATTGATGTCTTGACCTTACTTCTCCTAACTGAAATCTTGTATCTTTTGACCAACATCTCCCTAACCATGATCCCAGGGCCCTGGTCATGTTTTCATTTCAAAAATTCTTGGAAACTTCTGAAAGTTATGTCACACATACATTTAGTTCATATTTTTTGTTTTCCTTCCTTGTTGTCTTTTCTTTTCTCCCTGCCATCCTTCCTTCCCACTGTCCTTCCCTCTTTCCTTCCTATTTTTTAGTTCTGGGCATTGAGCTAACAGGAGCTCTACCCGTGAGCTACACCCACATCTTTTTACTTTTTTTTCTTTGAGACAGTATCTCACTAAGTTGCCCTGACAAGTCTTCAACTTGTGATGCTCTTGCCTCAGGCTCCTTCGATGCTGGAATTAGAGATGCATGCCACCCTGCCCGGCTCACTCTTTTATTTTCTTACTTTTTTGTTGTTGTTGTTTTTTTTTTTGGTACCAGGAATCAAACTCAGAACTTTGTGCTTGCCAGGCAGATGCTTCTGCTGCTGAGCTATGTCCCCAGCCCCTATTTTCTTTAAACATATTACATAGGTTTGGTTCTTAGATCTGTTAATTCCAGTCTAAAGTCTATGCACATCCCTTACTGCCTCTTATTGCTTTTGTTGACTCATATTCATTTTCATGTGAGTGTACATTGCATAATGAGCTCAGTGTTTACTGTGGTTCTTTAGAAAGGGTCTTCTTCATTCATGTTTGTTAGGTAAGTAGAGACTTGACCACCTAGGGCCACTTTAAATTTTTAGATTAGGATTCTTCAGACCTCCTTAATGAAATTTGGTGATTTGTCATGCCAACTCTTGTCTGCTCCATTAGGACCTCTGAGGGGACACTACGTGCAGAACACTGAACCAATTATGAAGCCTTTCCAAGTGTAGGTTCCTATATGATACGAAGCCAGTCTGTATATGAGGAAGAGTGTTCCAAAGTAGGTACCACATCCTGGTAATTTCTGCATTCCCAAACTATTCAGTGAATGGCTGAAGAATAATTATGGTGCAGAAATCTCACATTGATGGTAAGTAAAGAATTGTACAAAGACATTTCTCATAATTATATAAAATACATAAATATATAATGGTAATTATATAAAATTCATAAATATATATTATTTTATAATTATTTTATTTAAAATATATTATAAAAACCAAGAAGTCCTTCTATTACATTTCTAGTATAAAATTATACATAACTTCTATGCAAAAAAATCCATATAAAAATTTTCAAGGAAAATGAAATATTAATGATAGGTTGTAGCTTCCTGGTTCATTTAAGTCATCTTTCTGCTTTTCTATATTTTTTCACAATTGGAAGGAAGAAAATTAAAATTCTTTTCACCTAACACACTGCAGCCTACTGGCCAACTTGATGTGCAAAAGTGATGGGTGCTTCAGACAGTCTTAGCCAACCTGGAAACCCAAGAGATAGGCAGCACCTACTTGATCTCCGATTGTCCACATGGCTTCTTCCTAGACAGGCTGAGCAGATCTTTGCCATATTTCTCTTCAATCGATGCCCTAAGGGGAACAGAAGAGAGGGCCATGGATCTTTCTCAGAGCTGACCCTTAATAAACACACCCAGCATGGTCCTTAAAGGCTAAGCTGCCCTTTACAGTAGTAGCTCAGGCATAATGCCATTCTCTACAATGTAAACTCCCTTTAAAATGAGGAAGAATTATAAAAAGAACAGTGGCCTTCACTCATAATGTGGTATTCCCCAGATAAAAGTCCCAAGCATGGACATCACAACAAAACTGAGCTTTTGTTATTGAGATAGGGTCTCACTATGTTGTATGGCTGGGACCACAGGCAGATGCCACTGCACCTGACTTGAGCACTTTTTTCTTAAGCAGAGAAAGAGGTACATCCATCAAATGCTGCACATTGAGGCTTAGCCCTCCCCCCTCGTCCATAAGTGGTTCCTTCATCATTCTGCAGAGTTCCTCATTCACAATCACTCCAAATATCTGCACTAAACCAAAGGAATTTAAGATATAAACTCTGCAGCCGACATGTCTCACAAAACACCTGCTTGTTCGTCAGTGTTGCAGGGTCTGTCTGTAGCACAGAATTCCCCTCTTCCTTTCCCCTCTTTCCTGTGGACTCTCTCAGCATCTTCACTTTTTGTCCCAACTCCAGCCTTTCCAACTCATAGTATTAGGTTAAGATGATTCAAGCTCATCTAACCCACTTCCTTTCTTCAGATTTTTCAAAATTATATGAGTAATAAATTAATATATTTTCATTGCAAAGCACAAACCATACTATCAGTATGGACAGAACCACCGTGTTTGAAATATGAGTTTGCCACAGGGTCCCTGATTTGTTGCCAGTTTCTCATTACCACCAAAGAAGAAAGGAAGAAAAGAAAACCACCAGATTAATATTATTGGACATATATCAATGGGCATTCTGATAATGTCCAAGAGTTCTGAGAAAGCAGATTTACTAGACA